GAATACAAGAGATTGCTAGAAGGAAGTTTTGTAGGGAACCATGGCCGGAATTACCAAGGGCTTAGTACTTGCAGAAGGGATCAACGCGAAGGTCCTTAAGCGAAAGCAGTATGGTGGTGCACGGGACGCACGCAAGGTGGCAGACTGGGGGAAGCTAAGGGAGCTCCGACAGAGGCCACAATTCGGGAGTATGTGCGCGAGTTCACTACCTTAATACTGCAAATCGCGTCGTTGTATGGGGAAGGCTTCCTCTTCTACTTCATGGATGAGTTGCGAAATTGGGCAAACCGGAAGTTAAGAAGACATCAAGTAGCCAACGTGAATGGGGCCATCAGAGTAGCCTAGTCACTTGTTGACTTCAAGATGGAGCCTGCCAAGTCCAAAGAAGGCAACGTCGAGAGGGATGAGGGAGATCATGATGAGGACAACGGGAAATGCATAGCCAAGGTATACAAGGGTAATGGCAAGGGGACATCTCATAACGGACATGGGTCCAAGAGAAACGGCAAGGGGCCGGAAAATGGTAAGGAGTACGTGCCTAAAGGAGGGTGCTACTTCTGTGAAGGATCACATCGGGCAAGTGAATGCTCAGAGCTGGGGAAGCTTGCAGCAATGATAGGGAACTTTGCTCAAGCACATAAGGATGACACAGGGGGAACTGCCTGTATTGGAGGGATGCGCTTGGAATCTAAGCTGAAAGTAGGGGATTTCAAAGCCTATCTTGGCACCATGCAAATGAAGCATGGTGGCAGCAAGAAAAGTTGGACGGACATAGTTGAAGAGGATGGCGAGTTATCAAGTGATGGAATGCTATCGAACTCAGACGATGCACCAAGCAGAAGGTTCAAGTTTGCCATTAAGGCTGGACCACGGAGGGCAGCTAAATAGGGAGTGGAAGCATGGACTCGATGCTTGAGAAGCTGCTAGACTTGATTGAGTCATGGGAAGATTCGAGTCAAGATCAAGGAGGGGCATCCGATGGGCAGAGGATGGAGGCCATCATTGCTAGCCGTCCAAAGTACAAACGGCGTAAGAAGAAAGGTAGCCAGTACCTTGTGAAACAGGAAGGAGAATCGCTTCATAGGGCATCATGGCTAATGGACAAAGATCTTTGGCGACGCTAAGGCGAGGTGCGCACATATGTGTCGATGCTTTGTGCCGAGGGCGGCACAAAATTAGGTGGGGGAGAGTGTCATGACCGCCACATCATCATGCCACGTAAGTGCCACTTGGCATATATTTTTGCCATATGGAAGGGCTACATAAGTTAGGGAAAAGATCTTGGTGGAATATTCTAGAACTATGGAGAATTTCCTTAGAAAAGTTCTAGATATTTATGCTTTTGTAGGAAGATTCTAGAGAAATATAGAGGTTTCCTTAGGAAGACCCTAGAACCCTATAGAATTGTTAGGAAAGTCCTCAGAAGAATCTAGCTGTGTAGAATATTCTAGAGAATGGACTTAGTTGTAAATATGGAAAGACTTGTAGAACAATTATTATTTACATACTAGCCCCTAGGTGATTAGTATAAATAGGGGGTATTCATTTGTAATTCATCAACCAAGCAAACAATTCAAGTTCTCTCTAATACAAAGCTTCCTTTAACAATTCTCTTATGTTCTTTCTTTCATTCTCTTAGCGTTCTTGAGTGTAGTAAGACTAACTTGACATAGCAAGAACGTGAGCAAGTTATGCAAGATCGTGAGCGAGTTGTCAAGTGCTGCACGTGTACTTAGTTAACAACTAAAGACGTGACACTGTCAGTCCATAAACAATTTTGACCAAATGCCAAAACAAAATATCTACCCAAAAGGGCCTAAATGGCATTTTAATCCAAAAAGTTTTCAGTTAATGTCAGTTTCTTTTCAACGCTCCTTTTTTACTCTAAGATCATCTTTATTGGTAGATTACAACCTCTAAATTATTTCAATCTGCTCGTGCATCAGTGCATGAAGAGAACCTTAATTCAAATATGGCTAATAACATTTCAGTCTGCAAGCTAATGATAGAAATCTGAATACAAAAAAGTTAGAAAAGAGATCATTGAAAATCATAAAGGCAAGTATGTTGATACAGTAACTTAGTAAAATAATTAGAAACGTGAAGAAGATGAGCTAAAACTCTATTGAAAGTCTTTAAAACTCGCTTAAGCTTGAGTTTGAAAATTCAGGTTCCCGAAATTGAAATTTATTATGAGTGGGTGTTGTTGAAATAAGTTGGGTACATCTCAAGGAGTTTGAAACTCGATTTTGGGATGAATTAGTGTAGTTTTAAGGTGGTTTCAATTCAAATTTGAGCAATTTCGAAGTAAAAGACGAACATAGGAGAAGATGAAATGTGAATCACAGCGTGTATCTTCAGTTTATTACTTGTGTATCACTAATGTATCATGTGTATTCGCTATGTATCTCTTGTATACCATGTATAACCGTATTTGAGATACATGCATGATACATGTGTCGCATATGAACTTTTTGTACTCGAATTTAACTCCGAGTTTTAATACCAAACCAGTCCAAATCACAGATATTCTTCCTCAAATTTTATATATTGCCTCATCGATTTGTTTTCAACGAATTCCAACCATATCCATGGAAAAAAAAATTCTTTTATGACTTTTCTTTTAAAAATATTTTTAATATTATATATTTTGTGTAACGAATTTTGACTCCTAACTAGTTTAATTCACCTTCAATCTTCTTCAAATTTGTATATTACCGCATCTATGTGGTTTCAATGAATTCTAACAATATCCATTGAAGAAAATCTTTTTTTGCCTATGTTTTCTGAATGTTTATATCATTAGTAATTTTTTTGGCTATTTTTGATAACATGACTAATTGTTAGTAAGTAGTGTCTTTTTGTGGTACATCTGTAGGTAATTATACGGCCCAAATTCTTAGCCCATTATGAACTTCCGGCCCAATGGCCCATTAATACCCATCGGCCTTCCGTTCACTCTCACAGTTTCCCTCCTCCTTTTCCCGCCAAACGCTGAAAAACGTCAAATTCTTTAATTTCGCCTTTACCTATTCAACCAGAAATGAAAAAAATCATCACTTTAAAAACTTTCTGAATCTCAAAGAGTGCTTTAAAACGAGAAAATGGAAAAATCCGGCAACGGCGGCGGCGGTGGTTCAGCGCCTACAGGTTGCTACAAGTGCGGTCGCCCAGGTCACTGGTCAAGAGATTGCCCTTCCAATCCAAACAGTACCGATAAAACTAATTCCAATACCACGACGGCGTATGCTTCAAAATCTGGCGCCGATGCCGGACCCGGATCCGTTTCCGGTGCCGGAGCTTCTGCCTCTAAGCCGAAGAAAGTTCCTAGGTCAATGCCTAAGCTAACTCCGGATATCCTTCTCTCTGATAAAGGACTTGGCTACGTTCTCCGTCATTTTCCCCGTGCTTTCAAATATCGAGGCCGCGGTCATGAGGTACAGAGGCCGATCCACACTGACTAGTTCTATATGCACTAACTTTTGCTCAGACCTTGTGTATGTACTAAAAAATTCACTAAATACATATATAGTGAATACAAATTTGTAGAAAGACAATTTTGTTTTTCGAGGGTTTTAATTTTGTTTTATTATCTGTTTGGACATAGATTCCCAATTTTTTTTTAGAAAAAGCTTATTTGGGTGAAGTTACATGTGAAATTGAAAATGTGCTTGGACATAAATTTTGGGCCAAGTTTTGACATGTTAAAAAGTCATTTTTTTCAAGCTAATCTTAAGCCCTATTTGGGATTTGAAATTTTGGTTTTCAAAATCTCACAAAAGCTAGATTAATTCTATAAACAAACACATATTTGATTTTTTTTTTGAAAAAAAACTTCCAAAACTTATGGCCAAACACCTACTTAATTTGATCCAGAATAACATACACTTTTTAAGCACTTAACATGTCAGTACTAATAGTTTTATTTTATAAACATTTTGTGGCAGTAAGCAGACTTGCTGCTCCCTATTTAATTTGTGCAAGTGGAAAAGAAAAGTAACAATCATTCATCTTGTGTCTTATTTAGATTGGTAAGTTAGAATGCTTAGTCCATCATTTTGGTTATGTGATACGCTATCCTTTTAGTTGCATTCTTGCTATAAAATGAACAATATGGAAGCATATGTACTTATACTAGTGGTACTCCATCATCGAGTAATTTGTTCATAGTGCAATCTTAATAAGTTGCAGGTTGCTGATTTGGGATACCTACTTGGCTTATATGCTGAATGGCACTCAGGGTTACTTCCTTATTACTCATTTGATCAGTTCATACATAAGGTGGAAAGACTTGGTGGCTCAAAGAGAGTTAAGGTAACTGCTTTCACTTCCCCAGCTTTGATATTCCAATTTTGTTAGATACACTTGTGATGAAATGTGTATCATATTTCATTTGAATTTATTGTTTACTTGGCTTTCACTAGAGCTGCGTGCCTGCATCATTAACTGGAATATATGGAAAAGAAAGCTTTTGGAAAATAGAGGCCCTTTAATCATGTCTAAACAGAATACTCAGTCTTGGGAAAAAAATACTGACAGTGCTTTTTAACTTAAGTCAGCAAGTTACTAGAAGTGTAGAACTATTTTGTTGTACTCTTATGATGTTTTAAGAAGTAGATGCATCTCATCTAGTAAATTCGACAGAATTTGTGACCTAGAAGTTATCCATATTTTGATTTTCTCTTGATTGTGTTAGTTTGATAGTTGCGAATATATAGCTCATAACTTAATCATCTGCATCGCTCATTAACTTAATCATGTGCATCCTGCCATATAGAACTAAGAGGTCGTTATTCTTGTAGGTGGACCACCCTTCTTTAGATTAAATACCGATTTTATACGTGGATGAAAAATCGTGTTGTCATTTGCTTCTAGGTGTTCTCTTAATATTAAGAGGCTGAGCACATTAAATTTCAAGCCCACCAGTTTTTCTCCTTTCTTCATTTACTTACTCATGATCAAACATGGTAATGACCTCTCCCCTTCACTAAACTCCTCTTCCTTCTTTTCACCTTTCGTACTTTTGAATGAAAAGTAGTACAAGGGTGAGATAAGAAGATATTTCATCTTTCAACAAGGCATTCTTTCTCCTAGTGAATGTTCTATGGAAATCCTTCACCTAGATGTTGTGTTTAGGTAATTATGTCCAAATTTATTGCCATAATGCATCATTAGTTGCTAAATAGCATTCCGTTGTGGAAAGCCTGTTATATGAGCTTAATATTCACTTAACACATATTACATAGCTGACTTTTAACCAGATAAATCTCACTCCAGGCAAGAGGCTGTGTACCCCAATATATAATGATTGAAAGATAGTTTCTTGTATGACCTTCACTGAACACATAACAAGTATTAAAGATTCCATGTTTTCATTAACAAGCTTACAAAGTTTCTTTTATCTTTGAACAGCTATGCATGAAAGGACTACGAGACAGGGTTGCCGATGGAGTGGATCCTGCAAAACTGTATGAGCCACAAGTTCAAGAACAAGAAACAAATCAACAGGGTATATCTCTATTAGTTTCTATACTCATTAAGTATTCTTGTTTTCTAATCATGAATTACTTCCAGCTGTGAAAAGCAGCAATATGGTGACTAACGAATTACTGGTAAAATGAACTTCCGTTATTTTTTTTTTAATATCACTTGCTTTACTTTTCTCCTAAAGCATATACTAAAGTTTGAAAGTACTATGATTTCAGTATCTCAGATACTAAACTTTAATTTTTGAAATTTTGGTAAACTATTGAGATATTGGTTCGAGTAGTATTTCAAGTGAATAGTGTTTTTTATTCACAATGTTTCAACTTTTATAAACTATTTTCCCAAGTGAAGTTATGTCCAAACACAACCTCAACTTCAAATTACTTTTTTTCAAATTCAAACTTACAAATACTCTTTTGTCAACTTCATATAATTATTGTCCAAATGCCTACCTACTTAAATCAGGAAAACAAAATGCGGCTGTTCGGTAATTATAGGAGACATTAGATTAATTTTTGTCAAATGTGAATTCTAATTCGTTCATTTGCAGAGTGCTTCAAACTTGACTCTTACTCACTCATAATAGTTTTATGTATTGATTCTCAACAAAACCTGTTCTCTATGTTTACCCTAGGAAAATAACCTAATTCTAATCTTACGGGCTTATACTTTATTCTTCAATTTTCCTATCTATATTCGGTGAATTATGTAAGATTTCATACCAGTTTGAGGTTGGAACATTTAGGCTAAGAGTTAAACTTGATAATTAGGAGCTGTCTTGTTATATTTCACTAACAAATTGTTATTTAGGGTATGCAGTTTCAAGGCTAGCTTGATATTCTAGTGTTTTAAAATTGAATGTCTAAATGTATACACATATTAGCCCCTCCCTTCTTTTTAAGCATTGAAGAACTACTATGATGAACAAGTAACGTTATTGACTATGCAGAGTTCAAAGAAGATGTGCATTTTTGCTTTGAAAAACTAAATATTGTTTTTCTACAGAAAGTGATATGCCTATGTATGCTAGTGGTCATTTGCAATCATGATGGTCACTTCCAAGTAAACATTTTGTTGATTCTATAAATAGCAAAGAAGGAGAATTCATGTTATGTTTCTCCCATGAATAAGTTTGCTCTTCTACTTGTGAATGCTTGGATTTGAAATCAGAAATTGCATTTCTGCTGTATATTGAATGCAGAACTCAAGGACTCAGAACCAACTGACTATCCAGAAGATACCACACAAAATCCAAATCCTAAAGATTTTCAGGAAATCATGCTTAATGATGTGTGGGAGAAGGCAATTGGGGTAAGCATAATGGAACTTCCAACTGATTTCTATGTCAATGTTTGTTTCATTTCCAAAAATAACTATCAAGTGTTTACTTTTATCTGGCATATATAAGCCCAAATTTTACATCTAATCAGTGATCATTATTCCCTACTTAGAAGCATACAATAACATTCTGTTTTCTTTCATTTTGTATGCCAAAATGTCGTTGGTCACAAGTATTTACACAGTTATTCCCTTGTGTTTGGAATACCAATTTACCATCTGTCACCCAAGAAAAGAAAAAGAAAAAGAAAATGATTCTTTAAGATTTTGAGAGAGTGAAACAGTTGTCAATTTGCATTTGATGTGCTTGGGCTACATCTATTTCAAGTGAGACAAGATGAACTACACATTGGAAAGTATATACACTTGTGCTTTGAAAGTGATTAGCAAGTACCGTGATTCTGATAACTTTTACCGGGTTCATATAAATGGCCTTGGAACTATAGGGGGGATGAAACTCTCATCTTAACACCCAAAATAGGGCCCAACAGCCCTTTCTATTGAATCACCTCTAGAGTAAGAAATTAAGGCTATTCCTAGTCTATTTTTCCCCTGTTTCTGTGTTATGATATTTTATGCAGTTTGCTACAGCACACTTCCACAATGGTACAACTAGAATGTGAGTTGGTTATGCTGAAAAAAAATCAGGCCAGTCCTTGGATAATTTGTCAATCCCTTGTTCGCCTCTCCATGTGCCACCTCAGAGATTCATATATAGATCGTTAAAGGTTGTGCAACAGAAGACTAGCGGATTCAATCAATTCAGTCTAGTATTTCTTATATGTACCAATCTCGAACTATCTGAATACCACAGTAGATTAGGGTTATATTTCTGGCTAGCTTAAGAAAAATATCAAGCTTGGTCCACAGAAACTAGGAAATCATTTGTGCTTCTAGTCCAAAAGGAGTGCTCTTAGAACGTGAAGTTCGTACTTTACTCTTAGAAGCTTGAGGAGATTTGCTAGAGAAAGATTAGTGTGTGCTATATTTGGCGTTAGGATAGTTTTTTGAACGCAACTCTTGGAGAATTGTTCTGAAGTTTTTTGAAGAACTTTCAGTCAAATTCTCATATGAAGAGAACTTGCCTGATCAGCGATTATTTGTTAACCAAGGATGTCATAGTTACCTATCTGGCCAGTGACTTATCCTCACGTATGTTTTGATCTCGCGTGCCACATTGGTAGTATATTTGGCATGGACTTCTGTTACAATGATTGTTAGCATCCTTTACTTACCTACCGTTGCTGATTCTTTGACCATATTGCATTGCACACTTCGCAGGAGCCATCTCAACTATCCCCTCAAAAGATTGTTGCTGTTGATACATCTTCTGCAGGGAAAGATACAGTAAATCAGGCTCCGGATAATGTAGCACGAAGTTCTATCCAGATCTCTGAAGAACAAAGAGCTCGGATGGAGGCTAATAAGTTGAAGGCATTGCAGAGAGCTGCTGCTCGAACCTCTCATATCAAGTCTACGTGATGGTTTTTACATAGAGCTCCATAGAGGTTTCTAACTTTTTATATCCTTTCTTATTGTAAATGCTTCAGATTACCTTCATCTTGAACGTCCAGAGATTTGTCGAAGTGATTAATCTTTTCACTCTTTCACCCAAATTGTTGGATGTCATTTTCATTAATTGACAATTTAAACAAACATAGGAGATGATTAAGAGCTTGTTTAATTAATCCTTTAGCACTAAAAGTTCTATTTTGGTCGTATATTGTACAATTCTTAGTGTAAAAAAGAAAAACTAACTTAATCCATTGGATCTTACTAATAGAAATGCTTCACAAATGAAGAAACATGTTTATTTTTGGTAGTATAGTAATTCAATAACAATCCAGTGAAATTTGTATTTGGTAAGAAACTTCGTACGAATTATAATACTACGTAATTGAAAAATCTGAAACACAATTTTGCAATAAGGGTTAGTTACATGTTTTTGCGCTTTATTACACCAAAGTTGTTAAATTATATTTGGTAATAAAAAATTGCTCAACTTGATTTACTTAAGTGTTATAAAAGTTACTAAAATACTTTTTTTAGCAAAAAAGTCACTTAACTTTGTCCAAGTATATCGTAAAAACTTTGTCCAAGTATATCCTAAAGTAACTTTTTGTCATATGTAGGCAAAGTTGGACTTGTTCTTTGTTACAAAAAAATAATTTCATAATTTTAGGGCAATAAAGAAAAAAATCGAGTGATCATTGATAATGCACAATTAACATAAGAATTTGTTGTATTATTCAATATCTGGTGATAGTTTTATCAACACAACTTAATTAAGTGCAGATGGCCCTAAATTTTTTACACAATTATCTGATACTACTTCCTTGATTTCTGTTAGTATATATTCTTAACTTTTGAAGTAAAGAGGTTTTAAATGAAAAAAATCTTGTGATTTATATGTTATCTTTAATTTAGATAAATTAGAATAATGATATAATCATTTTTTTTGTCCATAAAACAAATCTGATGTTGGCATTTGATAAATGATGAAAAGTGCATATTTTTTAGTATATGTTTGCATATTAATTCTTGTGTGAGTTGCGAGAGATTACGTGCTTTTTGAAGTGAAATATGCTCATTATGTGTTTCTTATGTGTAGGAACAAGTTTGGATAATAAATGATCAAAAGATGACAATTTGACACAAAAAGGAAGAGATGGAAAGAATTGGGAAATTGTCCAATCTCGTGCATGGCACGCGAAAAAGGAGAAAACTGAAGGCACAAAACAGCAAAGTGAAGCAAAGTCATGGATTGCTTCGCGAACTGGAAAATTGCAAAAGCCCCACGTCCTTGGGCGCGCGATGCGCGAAGGCAGACACAGATTCTAGCTCTCCTATCCGAGATTAGATTGTATTGGACGGCCTTCCACCCTACTTAGGTCATATAAATACACGCTAAACATGATTTTTAGAAAATTTTGGAGGAGGAGACACTACTTTAGGGTTACACAATACCTTTTGAGGCAAGAATACATTAGGAGCAAGGAGGAAGATTCAACCCGAGTTTTTTCTTTCTTCTTCCTGTTTTCTATTGTTGGTTATGAATTTTAGTATTGTATTTTCACATACTACTATGAGTAGCTTGTTTATTATTTAAGATTTTGATGAAACCTTTTGGAGGATGAATTCTTGTTAAGTTTGAATATAATTTAGTCTTTGAATTTCTTTACTTGCTCAACTACATGCTTATTTGTGTTGATTGAATGACCATCAACTGACTGTGCCTATTATGTAGTGCTTGGTACAGGGTATATATTTAGGTAGTTGTTGAACAACGTCACTCCTAACGTATATGAGGAATCAATACGGCAGGTTTAAAGGTGGGTTTAAGAATAACAAAGCCTTGACGGTCATAGTGAGAAGGTTGTACCAGCTAGCGTAGTTCGGGAGAATATGTCTAATAAATTGTTGTAGTTGCTCGGGAGAGAATTGCGACACTTGAAGTGCTCACGATCAATAGAAAATAATTAGGCAAAATTATAGGAGATATAGCAGAAAGGATTCCAATAATTGGGGAAATCATAACTCTAGACCTCCTTAATCTTGTCTCCAACCCTTAGTATCTTTAGTTGTTAATTTACTATTTTAATTTATTAGTTAATTAGTTTAGACATAAGAATCTTAATGTTTATAACTTATGAATTGTTCAACTTTGTCTTCTTGGTGATAGTGAACAATTGTAGCTAAACCTTAGTTCTCTGTGGAATTCGACTTCGAAATTTTAGACCGAGTTATATTTACAGCGACACTTATCCTTTTTAGGACTAGAGTTGGGCGTGATCAAATTTTGGCGCTGTTGCCGGGGAACTAATGGTGTAGCTATAGGTGTACGTATAGCTAGGTTTCATGTTTGAACTTTTATTTTGTTTTTTAGTATTTGATTTTTTGTTTTTAAATTTTTGTTTTACTTTTTGATTTGAGAAACATGACATGCTGGAATTATGAGAGTTTTGATGTTGGTACTTCTACTGTTGATCCTCCTTATGCATATTGTGGAGGAAAATTATCAAAATCTTTCTGAGAGTGAGTTATGTGCACCAACTCAATCTTATGTGTGGAATGTGTGTGATATGTATGATAATCAAGATGGTCACTTTCATGGTTGTGCTTATACTTCTTATCCTCCCCCAACCCCTTACTATGATGGTTCTACTTTTTCTTGTGAGGTTAACAGGAACAAAGAACCCGGGGATGACAACCTGAAAGAGATCAAGGATATGCTAAGGTGCCATGTGGGAAAAAAATTATGAGACACAACTACAGATAGAAAGGCAAGATGCAACTATTTGCAACTTGAAGGCTCAAGTAAGCCAACTAGTTGAAACTTTTAATGCTCAACATGTTAATATTATGGATAGTAGCTAGGAGCTGTGTGCATTAGAGAGAGAAATTAAGGTGTCAATGAAGGGGTCCAAAGTAGGACACCAATACTCTAACCAGCTAAAATTTGAAGATGTCGATGTTGTAGAAAAGATACTCGAGTCAACCAAGGACATTGAGGACACATATTTAGTTGACTCTAGTGTCATTGGTATTGAGGAAGTTGAAAATCCCAAGGTTCATGTAGTTGAGCGCATTGGTCCACACTCCAAGCATTTTTTCACATTGTGTTTGGATGATGATATGAAAATAGAGTCATCAGAGCCAATTGAGGAGTCAAGGAATGAGGAACAAGGTGCTTATATTCTTTAATTCTTCTTGCCAGAAGTCAGGATTACATACCTCATGCAAAGTCTAAGAAGAGCAGAATACTACATTATTCTTTTGGGGCAGTTAGATTTGTTCCACCACCCTTGGAGCATAACCTAAAACTTGAAGCAAAACTTAAGGTTCAATTCATAAGCTCAAGGTGGAGGTAAAAAGTGAATCTCGTCGTGCCACAACGTTAAATCAAGAGCTTGTTGGGAGACAATCCAGTTTGGTTATTTTTTAATATTTTTTTTTTGTGGTGTCGCCTTTTTATTTTCTAGGAGCATGAGAACCAAATCCATTGGAAGAAAACAAAGCAAGTGAGATGGTGAGAACTAAGTGTGGGGTGCCGCACAAAGAATCTAGTATGGAAGAAGTCTGAATAACCCATGAGTTGCTAATGCTTCGACCTATGGCCTACCAGGGAGTTTCTTTTACCCTCTTGTATTTATGGGTGTGCATTGGGAACAATGCACAATTTTAAGTGTGGGTGAAAAGACTGTTTGGGTGGATTCTTATGCTAGTTTAGTTGTGTTATTTTATATGTGTTGAAAAAAATAATTAGGTAAACATTATCCTCTTGGTTTTTCTTATGACCACGGTTCTTTTCCAAGGGATGACTCTTTGAGCTGGCTAGTAGTTTTTTTTAGTAGAATTTTCAAAATATTTTGGACTTTTCCCAATGATGGACTTCTTAGACAGTTTTCTTGAGGGTATAAAATCTAAAGAAAAACACAAAAAGATTTATTTTTTCTTTATCTTGTTTGTTTTGAACTGATAATGGAATGGAAAGAACTTGAGTATCTATGCTTTTGACATATTTTATATCGGGGCTTAGAGTTGACGCATATGTGCTGAGTACTTTCTTCTTGATTCTTGTGACTATATGCCTTGAGAGTATTTGTGACTTATTTTTGTCACGACCCAAACCGATGGGCCGCGACGAGCACCCGATGCCATACTCGGCCCGAACATACCACTCTGTAATTGTGAACTCTGGAGGGGTAACCCTTAACTTAGGCCGATGAGGCCATACTCTAAATCATCTTAAAATATCATCTCTCTCATTTGAGGAGTAAACATACCCAAAAGCTCATATATACATATATAACTGTGCATGCTGATGAGGCTGCCATGAACGTCTACTGATAAACCAAAATATACAGGACTCGTCTACAAGCCTCTATAGATAACTAAACTGTATCATGATCGGGACAGGGCCCCGACCTACTCATAACATATATATACAAAGATGTACGTAAAGCTCTAGACCCGGCAACTCTGAAGGGTATGGAGCTTACCGATCAAGCTGAACTCGGGCAACATCTAATGAGTTCTACCCGTTTGTCTGTCTAAACCTGCACGCATGAAATGCAGCGCCCCCAGAAAAGCGATGTTAGTACGAAATAATGTACTGAGTATGTAAGGCAATATACTGAAAACTGAAACTGAACTAATAATATATAACTGAAAGCTGAAACTGAACTAATAATATATAACTGAAAACAACTGGGGGTCAAAGATAATCTGAAGATATGCTCGGCCATACTAGACTCTGTATCTCGGCCAACTGGGCTCGCTCATATGTGCTCGGCCACAGTAGGCTCGGTGTATAACTTACCATCTGATCAAAGATTGCCCAATAGGGGCCTGCCCATCGATTATAGCTTGATGGTAATGAAAATACTATGATACTGTATATATATATATAGACTCTCTGCTCTCTTGACTGGAAGAAGGAAATACTCAAATGAATATGAAGTCCCGATAAAGAAAATATTGTAACTTGCGAGACTAGCAAAATATACGTAAATTTCGGGATATAAATTTTTATTTATGCCTCGTTATCAAACTTGTGCAATAACGAGATCATGCAAAATGAAGGAAGATCTTAGCCTTAACATACATGCATGATCTCTTCATTATTACTTAACCAAGCTTAACACAACTTCTTCCATCTACAACAAGTGAAATGATATTGCCGTTAACATATAGTGTTGTACCATC